AAGATTCCAAAACGGAAATTATCGAATAAAGTATAAAAAATGAGCTCAAAAATTAATGTATATGTGTATTGTTTGAATGGACCTGCTCTGACTGACTTTCATATGACAATGAATACATGACTGTTTCCATGCCTTGTCTGCGACTACTCAGTCGTGAATCGGGTCAAATAGCTTTTTTGTACGTTTTGGTTGTAACACTGAAAAAAGATATCGTCAAAATCGTTTTAGCTTTCCACAAATTACCATGAAATTATAAACGGAATCAACTTTCAAGTAACAATGTAACTATAACATGATTCAAAGTTTCCTCTGAAGCTGATTGGTTCTTTATGTCTAGATAGTTCTAGAACGTTGGTCCTCGATTCTGATAGGCTTTGTGCCAAGTAATTAAAAACTATTTACTGCTACTAATGGGAAGCTGCACACCTGTAATCGATTTACAGTTAATTCAGATATCATTAAGGGACCTATAAAGGTAGCGTACACCTCTGTCAACATTAAACAGCCTCATGGTCAGAATTAGCATACCACGTTTGTATTGCAGTTGGGGTTTTTTTCCTTCTCCAACTCAAACACCTGTGTTATATAAGCGAGCCACTGCGAATCTTGCCGGTTGCTCTGGTCCTTTAACTGTGGGAAAGTCTGGTGTGAGAAGGAATCTAGCTTTGAGAAGGCAGAGATTAAGCTATTCTTTTTGGTGACAGTTGTATTTTTGTCACCACTCATTTCATGTCGTCAGCGGGGTCCCAGTTTAACGGGCAGGCGGGTGCACACTAAGCAGTTTGAACTCCCCTTTTTTAAACTTTCTCTGCGGAGAAAGCCTTTGGCGTTACAACTAAAAGGGCTTTAACACAAAAAGATGCGACTTTTGGTGTCGGAGTCCCTGTGATGAGAGCTGTTTCCAAGAGATGAAGTGGCTGATGAGAAGCATTTTTGTGGAACTGCCTTTGTAATACGCGACTGAATTTCTTTCTTGGTGGTGGTGCGGCTACACTTCGCGTCTTCTCTGAAAGCCTGCTTTTACCGGAGATGTAAAAATGAGCGAGCGGGTTACGCTGAAGCGGCGCACGAGGGTTTTAACGGAAGGACCGACTAGTGCTGGTATCAAACCTACAACCTTCCACTCGCAACACCATCTCTCCAGCCAATAGACTGCTCTGCCTCCCTGAGTCCTCCCACTAAAAACAACCTGTATCGCATTTATAGTATGGATATCCGAACGTTTTACCTCGCTCAAATTCATATTCACAACTTTCCACCGGGAGTGGGTTTAGCCTAATTTGTAAGAAATTGTGATACATTCTTAGAATGACCCTCACTTTTCCGTGTGTTCCAGTCATATTCTGTGGCTCTCTGTTATTTTTCCCACGTTTCTATTAGGATTTCAGAGCCCCCGAACACTTAAAAGAGTTGTAGCCTAAATCTCGTCAGCTCTCATGGGACTGAGGCATTCGTCGCGTTGTTTGCTGCTACGGCGGAAGATGGCGGAGGCGGACAGCTCAGAGGTAGGGACCTTGTGGTGTCCTGCACCGCATTTAGCGGGACCGGCGAACTCTCCGTCTGGTATTTTTTGATCGTGTCAACACATTTGGTGTAGAAATTATGCATATCTCTGTATTTTTCAGCGATAATTATGGAGACGAGTTTAAGAATAGATTTTGCACTGATGGCTTG